GTTCCGGTTATGAGAGTCCCTTTGTTCTGAAACCGCAAGCAAGCTAGCGTGGAAGCTCGCTGGGCCCTGACAAGCTCAAGGCCTACTGAAAAATGCCCGCACCCCTCCCACCTGCCCTCTGTGTTCCAGTTGTTGCTCAGCTCCGCCAAGCCACGTACTTGGCTAAGGGCAAGCACGTGGTTCTGTTCTTGTTACGGCTGGTTGCCTACCAAATCAAGGTTCAACCTTTACCCACGAAATTCCAGAAAAAAATTACGAAGTAAAACAAAGGGCCAGTAAACCGTGGACGACGCAACAGCTTCAAGGAAATGAAGAGAAAAAACAAAACAAAAAGAAAACGGCGTTTGCGGCTTGCATGGCAGTCAGGGATATCCCCTCTCTTCACCTGCTTCATCGTTTTTCTGGGGCCTTCCCATACCGATGGTACAGTGTAGACCGCACATAACGTATGTCGCGGGAGTCGCGAAAATCCACACTATAAGCGGTACCGCGCTATAACCAAAACATAAATTTTTCAGGCCAAAATACATGCCATGAGACAACTTACCTTTGTAAAAGAATTTATTTTATGTTAGGTGAAAAAGAAAGCTTAGTTTGAGGAAAGTCTTTATTTCACCAGACTAGTACAGTTCTGTCTCAAGCGTGTCACACATTTTGAAAGAAATGAGCGGCTTTTGCCTGCGCAGCCTTTTAACGGCGTCGCGGGTTGCGAACTGACGTTGCGAGCGTTCAGGATTGCTAACCCTAATCACTTTTCTCCGGAGATGAAAACGCGTGAAAATTCGCATCCTTCATATGGTACGCGCCAGTAATACCTTGAAATTGAGCACACGCATGAAATGCGCCAAATAAGAAATCCGGGCGATATTCGAGGACACAAATGCTTAGAAATCACCACTGTAGTCGAAGTAAACAAATACGATGACACGGACGTTTCTGCCGTCTTGAGAGCGCCGCCACGACATCGCCACACGAGTAGGTGGATTTTCCCTTCTAGTACGTGCTGGGTTATCATAGCGACACACTACGAAAATTCACAGTCAAGGATAGCGCTTTTACGCGGAACGATGAGATGAACGCCGTCTACGAGGACAATCGCGATAGAAGCAGCCGGCCCGCGACCGGCACGCAACGTGCGCGAACACTTCTCCTCGATCTGCGATTGGTCCGTTGTTGCGGCTGTCTGTTTCCAACGCAGCGGACGAACGCACGCACGTGAACGACACGTGCGTGCGTTTCTCCGTCGCTATGGCAACTGAAGCCTCTCTCTTCGCTTCTCCCCGCTTTTTCGAGGAACCTCCTTGCCCCGCAAATGCCGCTTGCGGCTTGCGCCGTCAACGCCGTTATCTAGTGTCGCACAGGGAAGCGTGCTCGCTGCTCCGGTCGTCGGCGCGGTCGGCGGGCTGTGCCAGAAACCGCACTATAACCGGTATTTCCCTTCGCACGCCTGCATTTTAAGCGGTATGTAATTACATGGAGTTCTATGGGAGGCGAACCGGTGGTTTAAAAAAAAACGCGTTATACCCGGTCCTGCACTATAAGTGGTTACGTTGTAAGTGGTCTATACTGTAATCGGTTCATCAAACGACGTTTCATCCACAGATAGTTTTATCGACACGCAATGACTCATTGACATGCAGGGGAAGGTGCAGCGAACTGTTTCTGATCACCCAGCCAGCCGACTTCTCCGTTTTGCTTCTATTTCGAGCAGTTACGTTTCCCAAAAAAACAAAAAAATTCTTCTAGCTTTTTTTTTTTTTTTTTTTTTGCAACATTGTTTTTTTTTGGTGGTTTGAGCAATCACGAGGGTGAGGTAATTGTTTCTGTGGGGAGAGCGGAAGCGCGAGGCGGGGAGATGGTCTGCGCGAGAAGAAAGCCCTTCTTGAACGAGGGGACTGCCTGCAGATGTAGCAATAAAGGGAGAGAAGTGGGAGTTGGGAATAAGGTATCCCAACTCCCAAGGCAAGAGGAGATCTTAGCAGGCTACACAGGTTATCAAGGGAGAGATCGCAGTGCAGCCTTTGTCGATGCACCGCTATCACGGTGGTCGTCGGAGACATCAAAGAATCGCGGCATTCTCGCCTGCATTTCTGTGTCTTGTTTTCGAAACACCATGTGGTGCTTGGTGAGCCAGGCTGCTATGTTCAGGCGGGCACCCTATTATACACCCCAGACTGGTTTACCCTCTTTTCAAAGACGACCATAAAAACAGGAAACATGCAGAAATTAAAAAGGGCATCGCCAGTGAACGTTTACCGCCAAAGGACGACCGCATGCACCAATGGTAAACTTTTTCGGGAAATTTTCAAAAATGCATTGTTATAACTTTTCACAGGAACAGAACTGCACCGAAAACTTTTACAGAGATGAGTCCAAGATTAAAATACACCTTCATTTAAAATGTGAGCTTTATACCTACGTGCAGGCACCCGATTTTCCAGTGCATCCCACGTCGACACCATAGGTCGATGCCACTGTACAGCTGCGTACTACTATTGGATCAGATTGTGTCAACATTAAAAAGTAAAATCTTGGCAATGTTTTCTTGTTTTTTTTTTTAAATTTTAATTTAAATTTTCTTATTTTTCTCCTTCCCCTCCCTTTATTTCGATCTCTAGCCCCCCCCCCCCCCATATAAAATGCACTCCCAGGGTCGCTGCCCACTTTCGTAATGAGTATGACGAAACAGAAGCGGTTGTCTCTATCAGACGAGCTCAAAATTCTTCAGCGTCTCAACAACGGTCAAAGACAAGTGGACGTTGCGAAGGACTATGGGATTCCACCGTCGATGCTGTCAATGATGGTGAAGCAAAAGTTGAAGCTTGAAGGAGAAACTGCGTTCAATCCCAACAGGAAACGACACTGCATGGGACATTTTGAGCTAGTGGACGATGGCTTTGCAGTATGGCTTCATCACAGCAACAAGATGTGCCAGAGGAAGTGCACAAAAACATAGACTCTCTGGACAGCTTTTGTTACTTCATGCACCTCAAGAGCGCCGATGCAAATGAAAATTACAGATTTTTTATTCAAAATGAGAAAGGCAGCAACGCAACTGTTATGAATTTTGTATATATCGACGTACATGACTCCATAAATTGCACTTCACACTTTAGACTCTATGTACCCATGCTGTGCCCTATGCTGTTCCATATATATAGTGAACATTCAGTTACGTGAACTATTTCCTTAAGGCCCTTGAAGTTTGCTCAAGTGAGAGTTTGCTGTAGACTCCAATTTGAGAGTTTTAGGCTAAATTGAGACATGACAAATGCGGGTCGGTCAGATGCGAGCAAGTCCAGCACCACAATCTGCCTTTCAGGGCAGCTCGCTTCGTTGCTGCGCTTTCACCCGCTTCCACAAACCATGCAGGGTATGCAACATGTGCATTAATTGGCACGTTTGTTTCTACTTGTGAAACAAATGCAAACACACGAAGGCGCTCTATGATCGGATGGTCGCCTACACTATTTAATGAACAATCCTTCAAAACACTTTGCTCCTGCCTCATAATTCTCAGGTATGTGCACCACTCCCTTACAGCGCCCCTTTGTGAGCACAACCCCTTTTGCAATACACCCTTTCATCTTGTCCAGCATACATAAAAACACCGTGCTCTAACGTCTGACGAGGCTGGCTTGACAAGAACAGGGCATTCGGGGTTCTGCCATGCCCCTACAGTACTGCTCCTACACTGCTCCGTCAGAATCGAGCAAAGGCCTACCCTACCACGTGACCCCACTGCTTTCCCGCTCGAGGACCATAAAGAGCACCCATCCCCATTTTTACGTAGCCATCTATAACTTTTCGGCGGGTGCTTGCTGCAGTAGCTTATGGTAGGTCTCTTTGAACGACAGCTTTTCTACCGAGGCGGTTTGTCCAGCCACACTGCTCTAGCGTGAATGCATTTTAGATTCTTAGTTTCTGGATTTGTTTCGCCCAACTCGTATACTACGAGCCAGCCAGCTATCATCTAAGCTATGGTGCCTGAAATGTGCCTCTGATTGGCGTGTTCTACGTGCCATTACACCCACGCGTCCAAAGTGGTTCCCGGGTAATTTCACTGGATGTCAAGGCCTCAGCAGTTGGTTGTAGTAGTTCCGGCAGAAAAAAAGAATGGTCGCAAGTGTCAAAGTCGTTGCAGCTTCTTGTAGCTACCGAAGCATCTGTAGATCGTCAAGCTGGAAAACGACCCCCAGTGGAACGGACCTTTGCCACCACCACCTCCGTCACTGTGGTACCACCCGGATCATGGCGGGTGATAGCACGGCGCAAGTGCGACGTTGTTGGGGGAAACTCAAAGGGCCACGAATGAAGACGAGGCAAACGCACCAGCCTGAGACGAGTGCCAGGCTCCATATAGCACAGACACGGCTGCCCAAAGTTCTCGGGAGTAAAGTCGCCGGATCCTGGGAAAGTAGCGCCATCGCCTTCCCCGCCTGCTATCGCGACACAAACATACACTAACATACAGACAGCCAAAACATCACGAGGTGATTAGCTAATCGATCTCTGTTGCCATAACAATCGCTGATTCGGTTCCTTCGAAGCTTCGAGGGGGTCATTCTGAACCAGCTGCTCCGAAACTTCTACGGAGTGCCATCGTACTGAAAGAGATCCTCGCCGATGCAAACGCCTTTGGCAATGCATGTACACTTAACTAGTCAATAACGCTTACCTCTGCAGGTCTCCTACGACATTGTTATCCTCGCATATTTCGAGACGGGAGAGTTCTTTTTAGATGTTGCCAAGCATTGAAGCTACACGTGCTGGCAGAGAAAAGTTGTTCAGCCGATGTGCGGATAGCAAAACCTCGGTGCGCAAGAAATGTGTCTTCCATAAAACAACCTTCCACAGCAAATTTGGATCAGCTCATCAAGAACAGAGAGACCAAGGAGAGACATGCTCATTCCACGAACCAAAATAATGACCGTACGAGAAGTTTGGCGCTACTTTCCCAGGATTGAGCGATTAGACGGGAAGAAAAAAGGACGGCATACCGTTCCACTTTCGTCGCGGAACTCCGCATAGTCCATTGACTGCAGAACGGGAATTCCAAACACTTGGCAGACGGCCTCCCTGAGTGTCTTGGCTGGGGTCTTTGTCCAGATGACGCTTCCATTGTGATGGAGACTGATGCCCACACCTTAGACAAAATGAAAAGATTAACAGTTTTACATTTTTTTTTTGACTACTGTAGTCCACACATGGTACATGGTCAGCATAATAAAAAATTGTCATGCACAGCACCTTTTAAAGAATGTTTGCTTTATTAGTGCACAGCAAAGTATCATACAAAAATTGTCCATAAATTGTTATTTCAAACTCCACCTAAAGATTTCTTCATAATTTGGAGCGCTTGTATACCCACTTCTGTTTTCATGGCAGCATTTTATGAAACATCTTGAAACATTCTCTGTCATGGAACGTTATGAGTGTATATTTTGGTTGCCTTATTTTCTGGTATTTTCAAAACTGCGAGTGTTAGTGATGTTCTAGGATGCTACATGCTATCTTCATCAATGTGAGTGTCTTTGTTCTTGTTTTTTAAGGCTACTGTTTTGTCCGATCGACAAACAACTCTCGCGTGATGACCCTAATAATGGCAAACAGTCAATCGAAATAAATAAAAATATAAATATAAATTAACATTATAGCTTATTCATAAAATCTGTCGCGTCTAACCATATTGAACGATCCAGAAAAAAAGAAATCCTCCTATATTACGGACCGTGAAAAATTTCAACTTTAAAACATGTATACAATCTGTGGACCAGAGTGTGAAAAATACGGTAGGTATCTGATGTGGCACACAAGCTTGGGTACCACCCGAGTTTGGGTATCGCATTGCTGCACTCAGTCGTGCTCGGCGCCACGTGACAAATTGGTTGCTCCCGCTGCCCCAAAGCTAGCACTCCGCGGAAAGAAAAAAAATGCAGTCGCGCACTTCAGTTTGGTTACAGCGTTCACAACCTAGTGGTTTTAGTGTTTTCTAGAGGGAGGAGTTGCGTTTTGCGGATGGCAACCTGGGTGTGCTCCAGTTTGCTTTCAGTTTCGGTTTCCCCCTGCAACACCCAACTGGGCAATCAATTCTTTTTTTATGCGAATCGTCAGGTACGAGTGAGCAATGATAACAATGTTTCATCTTGTTGTAGTATCACTTTTAGATGGCATGTAATCTTCTTTGTTTAGGTAACTTCTAGTTTTGTATCATCCTTCGTCATACAATATGGCAAATCTATGTCGTTCAACCTTATGCTTTATGGCGTGCTTCAACTTAAAAAAAAAAGTTATGGTTAAAAAAAGAAAAAAAAATGAGTAAGTTTGTTTAGAAGAGTGATCTAAGGGTGTGAAATGGAGGCACCATTGCATATTACCGTGCCTCCATAAGAATAACATTAAAAAGTTGTCTTAGGTCCTAGCTTGGAGGCATTTAGACATTTCCCCTATAGAACTATGTGTCTTAAATAAACATTCTTCTGACTTTCTTTGCGTCGTTCACACACAAATGCTTGTCAGAAATTCTAATATTCCCATCTGCACAAACAGCTGAGTCAACTGACGTAGTTAACCTTCTCTATCGTTGGCCCGTGAAGCGTTCCCTAGAAACACATTGTGACCATCAGCACCCCATCCAAGGTGGCACAACACCATGCAGACCAAGTACGGAAACAACGGTCATCTCCGGTTTATCTTCATTTGTGTGCAAATCACGTGAAAAAGACTCAAGGTACACCTAAGCACTTCTTACGAGTTGTGAATGTGAAAACATGCATGCCGTTGCTCCGCTCCCTTATTTCGTCTGTGACGTACTTGCGTTGACGGTCGAGCGCGCGCCCTCTGCTTGCCGCGCTGACTCTGGGCGTGGAGCAGTAAAGCCGCTGCCTCGCAGACACGCAGTGCCATGGGGTGGCGCTAATTGAAACTGACGCACAGCGGCTTCATATCACTGCCATTTTGTGTGGCTTTCTCCGTGGTTTCAAAGCTGGGATGCCTCAGCGCGCGGCTTCGGGAATTTATCTGCCATTTGGCGCGGTTGATGATGTTGGCTCACTCCATGGAACCAGTTAATGCTTTCGCATTAAAAAAAAGAAGATTGCAGCATTCTCAATGTGAAATATGTCTCCATATTGTCTCATCTTCTCCAGGGTTTCACTTTACAACAAAAAGCATGTTAGTGTTACTAAAACCAAAATTTGCACTTGGCATGCAAAAAAAAGAAATGCGCGCACGATCACGTGATGTTATGCGAATGGACGGCGTCAGCAGGTGTGGTATTCCAATAAAATTGCGCGGTGACGCTTCACGTTCACGTACAGCAAAATCTTGACGTCGAATGCATTCCATCTTAACGTCCAGAGTGTGACCGCCGGTGCCTAAACGTTAATGAAGTTCTCTGTCACGGGCGCATTTACGTCACAAAGCAGCCAGTTGCTCCGACGTATGCTTCGGCCGCCACGTCCTTGCACAAAAGGCTTAGAGCGCCGTGCGGGTATCAAATGTTCGCCCACGACATCTAATTGAGGCTAACCCTCTGGTGTGGGCGGGTATGCATACCTGCAGCACGTGGCAAGGGTCAAAATATTGCCAACAGAAACACTGTGTAGGCACGCGGCACACAGCTTGGAGGTAGTCAGCTCACTGTCCGGGTATGACGACCGAAGAACCTCAAGACAAGCCGCTGGCAAACACACCAGGCCTCGCGTAATCACAATCGATCACACACAGAACAGCTAATGCGTTCCATCCTAATAGTCAAAGTGGGACCGAGCAATCGAGCAAACGGGCATTTGAAAACGAGAAAGAGCAAGTGGCACCCTCTCCCGACGCCAAAGCCAACTGTGGTGAGCGCTCGCATGCACCGTTCGTTTTTAACACGAGACTCATCCAGTACGAGCCTGATACAGCTAGCGCTGTAAAAAAACCTGACACTCAAAGGGTTTGCTGACCTGGACAAGCAATGGCCAGTGCCTGAAGCAGGCTTTGCACCTTCTTCAGCTCTGCAGCCTTGGCCTTGACATTGTTCATGTGCTTTCTCCGGACTGGCACCATCTTGAATAACTCTTCGACTGTCACCCTCGTCCCTGGAAAGAAGAACAATGGAGTCCATTTGGAGTCACAACGAGTGCATCATGCGGTAGGTTTGTACAGAGGCTCCTGATTTGGCTTGAGCAAATAGCTTTCTTTACCAGGTAAAGTACCAGGTAAAGTACCAGGTACTGATCCAATGAGACAAGGATGTCTAGAACTTGACAGCAACAGCAGTTTGTCAAAGCTAAAGGGGCCGTGTAACAATGTTTGGACTTCTAGTTGTTCCTTGTTACGTCTGAATTGGAGAACTGGAAACCAATTTTGTCTGTGCGTGTTAGTTCTTTTAAAAAGAATTTCAAACAATGGACATTTTTCGAGTAACAAGATTTTGCCGTCTGGAGAGTTGACTGCGATGTCAAACAATGGACCTTTTTCGAGTAAAGAGATTTTGTCGGCTGGGGAGTTGGTTGTAAACTACAAATTTGCCATCTGGGGAGTTGAATGTGAACTACAAATAAAGGGCTGCCCAACAGGATTCCACTCCTCAAAACACATTGACATTGCGCCATTGTATCAGTTTTCATTGCTTTTTGTTTCCCACGCTACCGATACCCAGCAAAAGAATCGTCAAAAAAGAATAAATACGGGGAAAGATAGGTACTGTGTTGGTCATGCGGGATGGTGCCCTCCAAAAACGGACACAGCGGGAGAAAGGCCAGGGGAGAAGCTGCGCACATGTGCAGAAGCTTACTGGAAAAATGTCCACCGACGTTTTGAGTGCCTCCAAATTACTCTGAACTCTTACATCGCGTTCCGAGTCACATGCCCGGTGACGTGTTCTCGGGTGCATGTGAGTCTGGTGTGAGAATCCAATCGGGTTCTCTTTCAGAGCCTCCAGCGTGCGCGGCACCTGCCTGCGATTCACATGGCAACCCTGAAGGTAGGTCTAAGCAATGTGGAGAGGGGAAAAGAGGGGGGGAAGGGGTGCGAAGCGCTTGCCTTGCCGAGAGGAAGTTGGACTGACGTAGTAGCAATGGGGTGAGGCTCAAGGCAGGAATAGTTGTTTTCACCTCGGGCAGATGGCGCTACTAAAACTGAATATAGCAACAACTTTGTCAATGATATGAGGTTTTTGACACATTCACTCGTGTTTAAATGACAATATGTACTTATAAATTACAGCATTAGATTATGCACATAATGGCACACCTTGCCAACTTATTACATTGCATCCAGGCGTGCGCCACGCCTCGGTTCCCGTGGCCACCATTCCACAGCTGCAAACTGCGAAATATTCCTGTTCTTTGCTTTGCTCCACGGCTGTCGAATACTGAATTCGTTAGCAATTTCTTAATCTCAGTGCTCACCATGAAGTGCAAAGCAGAACAGCATAGATCCACCATTCTGTAACAATGAAGGAGTGCTAAACCGGAAGCCATATAAACAAAACAAAATTACTAGAAGCCATCCCAAACTGACACCACAAGATAGAACATTGTTTTCATTGCTTGCTCGTATGTGTCTCTCCCAGTAAACAAAATCGACAGCTCAGTTGGGAGGGGCAGGGAGCAAACCGAAACTGAAACCCCACATACCACGCACGAGTACACGGCGAGTGATGAGGCGTTCATTTCTACCTACGGAGCGGACACGTGTGTTAGTGTCCCGTCCGTGGCTTTGGCGGATAACGAAGTGTCTTTCATCAAGAAATTCGGCAGATTTGTTTAAGTGCTCAAGCGTGCCTCAAGGGGGTCGACTATGTTTTATCTACCTTGCATCCTTTATGTTTTCCTTTCTGTTCCTTGCAGGAATAAACTTCAGTTGCCAGTCAGCGTTGTGTCCGTTCAATTCTCGTTCTTGTCCCTTGTTTTTTTCGTGCTGTTTCCAAGTTTGCACTATGAACCAACTAGCCCGACTTCACGCCTTGTTGCACGAGTACACTCTGGCACCGGTACTCGAAGGGTCAAAACTTTTTTCCGAATGGTAACATATGTACTCACTAAGAAATGAGGGGGCCAGGTTCTTTACACAAGCACATCAAAGAGAGGGTGCCAGGAAGTTAGCACTACAAATGGTCTGGAATTAGATAATTGTTCTAAGCGCAGTGTTTCGAGGAGGGAGCCTCGTGCACAGTGACTTGTAACGCGTCACCAAGACAGACACGTGTGGACACGCGCAATCGGTTTGCAGTGCAGGAGTTTGGGTAGCTGGCCAACTGCTACAACTTTCCTAGCTTCCACTGCGCCAGGCCACAACACACGATGGACGCGGGCAAACTCTGAGGCAAGAATGGAATTCGGTGTGAATACGATACGGACAGCGTCGAAGACTCCCACATGCCTTGGTCCCAGGGAAGCACTTTACGGGACACGATGTTGCCCCGGTGGTCGTAGACCAGCGACAACCCCAACTCCTGGTCCTTGGTGCCGCTTGCGACTGTCACCCGGGCCACGGCGAGGATGGCGGCAAGTGCCTGGCCTCGGAAGCCGTACGTCCGCAGCGACCGGAGGTCTTCCTCGCTGGCCAACTTGGAGGTGTAGCCAGGCAGAACGAGCAGCGGGAGGTCGTCCTGGGCAACTCCACGACCGTTGTCCAGGACATCGATCCGCTCCAGCCCATAGTCTACCTGCCGAAATCAGCGTCCCACGTGGACGTGGGCCCAAGACATAAAGAGTAATTGTATGTTAAGTGCAGCGGCTCTCAACCACTGATGTTTTGGGCATCCTTCTGGATCGACAGAAGTGATGGGGGACCCTACCCATTGGGGGGAGGGGTATTGGACGATTGCAGAAACAAAAGGTTAAACGTAAAAAAAACCCAAAAAACTAAAGGCATGCACAATTCAATTTTTGAAGCTCTGGAATAGAGATTAGCTAACCCTGGTCACTCAATGTGCAGGGTTTGTTCTATTTTTCTTTGTAGAACAGCCAGCATCAATGAACAAAAGTTTTATTGCTTGGCTTGACTGACGATCAAGGGGACCCCATGGTAGCCTCAGGGACCCCAAAGGACCCACGGTCCCCACTTTGAGAACCCCTGGTTTAGAGGATTATTGCAAGCTGTGGCGCCACATCAAATCAGCAGCCGAGAGTGCTCTCTTGCTCTCCCCTTGACCAAAATCGCACTCCAGGTCTGTATGTTTCTCTGACTTGAACCTCATCTTTTTTGCGCTGATCCGATCTCACTCAGCATGTGGTCTCCACTGTGGATCAGGAATTTAGCCAGTGCAGTACGGTCACTAGTCTGGGATCCTTATTGTGCATCAGAGAGTAGCGGGGTGGAGATTAAAAATCAAGATGAATTAAATTATGATTTAGATCATGATTTAAATCGTGACTTTAATCAGACCAGGATTGTTTTAAATCAGACTATAATGATTTAAAGCAATCCTTTCCCGCAAAAAATAATTCAGAAAAAAAAGTATTTATTTATCATTTGTTTTTGATGCTTTCAATGTGCTTTTGTTTTGTACTAAAATTTTTAAAAAATATTAGAGCAAAAAATATTTATATTATGCTGAACACCAGCGAAATGCATTGCTTTTTAGAGAAAATCAGATTATTAAGCTTTTTTTCCACCTTCCACCTCAGAACAAATCAGAATGTGAAAGAAAGAAAATCTAGAAAAGTAATCTTATTGCAAGCTAATCAAAGTGTGAAAAAAAGCTAAGTAAAAAATCAAGCTTGCTTTTGTTCTAGTATGGCTGGGGTTAGATCAATAAATATTACATAATTGAAGTTTTTTAAATTTACAATAAATATTTCTTCTGCACCGTTATCAGTGATTGGATGGATTTATTGATCAATCAATCTGCAATGTTTAAAAATACATGTGGCAACAAAGACTCACCGCTTTGTAACACAATGATTTAAACTAAACTACCATAAAATACCAGGCAAGCGCCCAGTCAAACTTTGGAGATAATCACAAAAAAAAATGGGCGATGGGCCCTTCTCCGGTCATCAATTTTACATATACATGTACTGTGTGAATTTTCGCAAATCCTACAAATTTGGGAATGGGCGCTTAGTGTGGTGTGGGCGGATGCACGGTATTCCACGATAATGTGATTTAAAACAAAAGTCTGATTTAAATAAAATCAACATAATAACATAATATAAAAAATCTGTTTTTTTTTGCACGGTTGAGATACACGATTGTTTGCCAGTTCAATGCTAAATCGAATCGAAACGGGCAAAGGTGGGGATCAGACCCAGGACCCCTGGCTGCATGAGCGCAAGATTTCACGCCACATACTCCGCTGGGGTGCATTAGCAGACTGAGCCACTGACCTCCCTGTTTGAGACGCCTAATCTGCACTATAAAGGGAACAAGAATAAACTGCCCTCAAATATTCTTTTTTCTGCAATTTGTTGTAAAACAATCAGAGCATCTTGCTGAATGCCTCTGTTCTGTTACACATGTGTTAGCGTCAGCATTAGCATGATGGACATCACACCTTTTTTTCTGAGTATCCGCCATATTGTGTTTATCGAGAACATTGAGGCGGTCGGATGGGCATCCGTCTCGCACCCAAGTTTCAAAGTTTGTACCAATGTATGTTTTAATAACTGTTTTCAAATAAACCATCCAGTTTTTCTATTACACATGTATTCCGAGAAGAGTCATTCAATGTGTGGCAAAGGGTATTGTGGGGTCGTTCCTAACTGCCCAACTCTCGGGACGACTCGGACGCTGCATATAACCTGAGAGCAGTGCGATTCGCTATGTCGCATCATTCCACATTCAGAACGGACAATAAGGTGTCAAGAAGAGGGTGGAAGCACTATATACAAAGTGTTTTTTCTAGGCTTTAAAGGGACACTGACAGGGTATTTTTGCTCGCCGAGGTTTTTAGTAATGCCCATCTACCCGGAACAGAATTTGCGACTCGAAATTTGTTTTCTTTCCGCCTGAAAACCGCCGATAGAGAACCATAGTGGTTTGAGTAGCACTCACTCTCTTCTCTGTGGTCACGTGCCGTCTTCTATGGTTTAGACACAACCACCAAAGATAATCAAAGTCGTGGGTCATGGAAGGCACACCCTCATTATTAAAAATAGACGTTAATAAGATACCCTCTTTTAGTGGCTTCTAAGAAACTGCAAATACGTTGACTGAAAAAAAAAAAAGGTGCACAGCCACGTGATTTCCGGTAACTTTCTCCTCTATATTTCTTCTTCCTCCCCAGCCCAGCTTTGTTTTCCAGGAGTTGCGTTTTTTGACTTCATTAGAAATATATGTGGCACTGTAGCAAAATATTGATTGGGTAGTCTTTTGACACCATAATAAATCATTAAAATCATCTGGTGGGCTAGTTGGATAAAGTTTGTGCTGCACAGCAAAGTTATACTGAGAGTGGGAAGAAGAGGCAGAAGAAGAAACAAAATAAATGGAGTCTGCGCTTTCACATGTACGTCGTGTCCTTTTCTGTCAACCATATTGCCCCCGTAACCTATAGTATACGTGTATGTTAAAGGGATGGTGAACCGAAATTTGGATTTCAAGAAAACAATGCAGGAGATGTAGGCGGGACGCTATAATCCCTACAACACAACTCGTAAGGTGATATCTCGAATGGACGGCCGTATTTTTGGAAAAAGTGGTTGAGATTGAACCAGGCCGACGAGGCGAGTGACGTGGAGATATCTCGTTTCCTCCTCTCTTTGCTTTGCCCCCTCAAGGCGGCGAGGCAGAGAAGACGCGAGGCCGTTCCCTCTCCTTCTTGGAGAAACATGATATAAACATTTCTGTCAAATGCGCCTCCTTTTTTTTAGAAAATATGATCATCCATTAGAGATACCGCTGTATGAGTGATGTTTCGGTGTTTGTACCATCCCGTTGCACGCTTTTGCGTGTGTTTTGTGAAATCCAGATTTCGGTTCAGCATCCCTTTAAGTGTAACTTTGCAGTGCAGCATACCTCATAAGGTTAGCTACACACTGGTGAAGAGCGTGATGGCTAAAATGGTGTCCCTGAACCCCAGGGCGCAAGTCACAATTCCTCGTAGAATGTCACACATTAACCCACACTTATTCTCGTTTGCTTTTGTTTCCTATTTCAACCCACAGAATTGAACTATACGAGTTGGATAGAGAATCAAGACGAGCAACATAGTGACGAATTTAGCATGCCGAAGAGCCCCGAGCCTTTTAAACATGTAAGCTCATGGCACTTTCACGTGTCTGGGTTGTGGCATGGATGATGACATTATGCTTTTCACGTCACGGTCGACACTATTAGGTTAGCACAATTGTGGAACTTCCGCGGAGGGTGGTACCGCCACTCAGCCCCATCGGTCCGCCTCCCGTTGCTCGAGGTGCCATCTAGATTTTCGCTTAAAAACTGTCTGTTCCATAGAGCACAGAGAAACACCATCTAGACGCTGTGCTTCAAAACACACATATTCCATCTATGGGAAGTTCCGTAACTGACCTACTTTAGTAAAGTGCCATGGTGTTCACGTGACAAGCGTGACTGTCGTCGCGACACTTGTGGCGTCACATGACATTGTGACATCACAAAACAACATGATGCCACACGACACTGTGAGGTCGCGGTGTCGACCTGACGTAGATGACGCACCATGGCGTCACAGAGTACCTACGCACCAAAAGCGCCCGCGGTTTTGAGCGATTTTCCGCGACAAGCAGCAAGACGTGACATAAGCGGGGAGATGCGCAGCTCAGATTTCATACGCACCCGCTTGGGTTTTAGAAGCGACGTGACCTTACCAGCTTCACGACGACGTTGCTAGCTCCGGCGTCGAGCGAGTTTTCGACGATTTCTTTGACGACTCCGTGTACCGATGAGACGGACTGCGTGCTGTGAAGCAGGCGAGCGGTCCCAGGATCCAGTTTTTTCAGATTTCGCGTCATTGTCGACCAAATGCTAAGAGTCCAAGACAGAAAAAAACCACAACTGATCAGGCGCTTGAAAGTATGAAAGATCTTACAAAAGGAAACAGATGTGGAGCGTTGGTGACCGTCTGCTATTATCGAGCGAGTTTCAAGTAGCAGACAAAACAGCTCATAAAAGGGGGGGGATGAATTGGGGATTGCACTTCTAGACACTTTATAATAAATGCATACCTAGTTCTAAGGTCTTAATGCGCCTAGCCGTCATGAAAAATGCACTTATGAACTTTTCGCGCCTCAAAGGTTCCAAAACAACGCTAGATTCGGCTGGATGGCTGGAGGGCTGCAAAGGAGGGCTGGAGCACAGTGGGCTGGAGCGGTAGGCTCTGGTGGTAGGGCACGACGCCAGGCGGCCAGGTCGCCAGGATACGCTTTAACATCTTTCTCGTGCTATCCCACTTGCTATCCCATGACCAACGAGGTTTGCCCATGGTATTGCTTCCTTTAATTCTCTAGAAGCTTAGGATGGAAGCAAATAATGTAATCTTAATGTAAACTACATATAGCTTGAGTAAAAACGTGTTTAAACACATTCTCTGATCGGACGCTCTCAATACTAACTAGGTGGCGCGAAATGCCGACTGATTTAAGGTGTTCAGCCGCATGCATTTATCCATATGAAATTAGTGGGTTTTGCACTAAACGTGATGAACGCCGACGCGCCACCGCTGCTCTGCCGTTGCCCGCGTAAAGATGAGTGCCAGTGCGAAAGAATGGTTTAGAAACGAGGTACGGTGCCATTTATCTCATATTGAAGTCTCTAAGCGCATCCACGAAATTAAGAGATCTTAGGACGTTCGCGAAAGCAGTCCTATCTCCCGTTCTTGTGTTGGGTTGGGACCAGTGGTTGGGACTCGCTTTGCGGGTCGTTGCGATGAAGACCACCGACCGCATGTCAGATCACCGTCTTTTTCAGGTTTATTTTTGGAGGTGCCTTCATTTCGCCAAGAATCTGCTGCTTCTTCAGGCGCTGCTAACTCCCGTGGCGCTCATCGTGCTCCAGTTCAGCGTGTGGCACCCCCTCCAAGGCCCATATCGTGAGCGTGCTGTCTCGATCCGAAGGTTCAGTCGGCCGTTTCGAAACACCGTGCCATCGGTGAAACCATTTCGCCGGCTGCTCTTTCATCTAAACCTGCTTGAATTATTTTTCGTCAATTACCTTTTTGCCGCGTTTGGTCAACTTGAAGCGACCCAAGTTCATTACTGCTGGGTTCACCCTACACTGTCGCTTCTTGAAGCGAGCTCGTAAAACGGCCACAGGAGCATCCCCTCCGCCGACGAATTGAACACTCTGCTAGTATACTCAATTTCGTAGTAGAAGTAGTGGTACCAGTCGTAGCAGGGGCCTGTCAACAATCTTCACAGTGGAAATGTCTCAGCAAATTTCTGCAAAGGAAAAACAAAAAGGCTGACAGCCTTTTCACGCAGGCTTCCAGTACTGCCTGCTGCACCCTGTAGAATTCACTGCCTTATATAGGGGTGGTGCATGAAAGCACCTGATGTCAAGAGCCCCGTGTTAAATACCCGCGGCAAACACCCTGTTTTTTTTTTCCCCCGCTTTCAAAAGTCTCAGTTTCAGAAGCCCATGACACGAATCCCCCGTGTCAGGTGGTCGGGTCCTCAACATGGCGGCGGAGCATTCTGCTTTTAACTAAGAGATAGTGTGCACGCTAGCTTGTGTGACGTAATCATGAGGTACCGGGGACTCAAGTAATGCGTTACTGGATAAAGCTTCCGTTCTTCTGGCGTGCACTAAACACATGCGTCTTACGACGTTAGAAGTGAAAGCATGCAGACAATATCATTCACTGGCAAAACGTTTGATGTTACAGATATTTTCAAATGGCATTGAATTGAAGCTTTCGTCGACTTTCAAGCACTAGGGATTCACAGTTCCAACGAATTGGTTTCTGTCAAAACTGTTAAACTGCAGCTTATAGCGCCATATTTATCACAGCACCAAACACCAGTTTCATTCTTACGTCGTTCTAAAAAGATACTTCTACTCAGCTAGGTAAATAAAGTTCATAACTCTGCGTCCGAGTAACCTTCTATGACAGCGGAGTGCATCGCAGGGGATGCAGATTTACGCAATTGGCCACTTGTACGTCAACCTAAGTTTTTCGGCAATTGAAGTTAACCTTATTTTGTTTTTTCTTTCAATTACAAGACCCTTAGTAGGCACTCAACAGATTAAGTTAAGACATGGAACAATGCTGGTTGAATCGCGAAGAGGGTGGTACATAGGTGGTACAGGGTAGTGAGCACTGGGCTTTTGAAACGCGGGGCTTTTGGCACGCGGGGAATGCGGGACAGGGCAATTGAACACGGGGTTTTCGAAACGTGGGGCTAATGAAGCGGGGCTTTTGTGACGGGGATTCTGCACACGGGGCAATCGTGCTACACCCCTTATATAGGTTTTGATTTTATGGTCTACACGGATTTCTTTAGCCACCACGAGCTTGTATCTTGCCTATGTAGAAGTTCACGGGTAGTGGATGGTTTTCCCAAAGCTACTTGACTGTGCTTACCACTTATCTAGACTGCTGATCAAAACACTGATGTGCCGGACTTTTGTCACAGCACCGAGGGGGTCAAGAAATGAATTTTTCGAAAAGAAACAGATGATGCTGGTTTCATACTCACATCTACATTTCATTGCTTTTTCAGAATGGCTAACATCCTACATGACAGCCTCCACCCTTTGGTACCACCTTCTGTCCATCATGGCCACACTGGTACTTTCACTGTACCACATTGCCAATGTTGAAGGTGAGTATAGTCCCTGCCCTGGTGGCTTGTGGTGTTTCATTATTTATTTTCTTTTCTTATTTATTTATTTATCCTCAAGGCCTGAGGCATTATAGAAGGGAGTGGATTACATAAGATAGTACAACATTGTGCAGTTATATGAGAGGCTCCTAGTCATACAATAATAGCTAGGCGTTCTTGAAAAGATTGTGATTTTCAATGGCTGCCATCGGTGCGGGAAGGCGATTCCACTCATCTGATGTGCATGGCAAAAAGGACAGAAAAAAAGCTTTAGTTTTGCAGAGTGGAATTCCAACCTTCAGAGCATGATCCAACCTGAATAAGATATGTGGAGGAGGTAAAATAAAATTGTGGCACAGATATGGGTGATGAAAGAGCTTGTGAAATAGACATAGTTGAAATAATTTACGGCGAGATGCTAGAGTCTGTAGGTTGAGGCTAGATTTTATTGAGCTTACGCTAAGAGTTCTGTTATAGTTAGATAGGATAAAATGAACTGTAATGAACGAGATTATTTTGAACCATATCAAGTGAACCTATTAAGTTTTCTTGGTAAGGATCCCCCACAGATGAAGCAGATTCATGTTTTTAATGGTTTAGTGTTTTCAAATAATTAATTAACTTGATCAAATCAACTCGATATTAGTTTTATTCAAACAACCGACAGGTCGTACAGTTGTCGGCCCTTTCCCGGTGGGGCATTAGACAGAGGGGGATATTGCAAAAATCATTTGAATAATTACACAAAATATATCGATACAAATATAAGAAAAAGGATCACTCTAAACCTATTATCGAAAGATAAATTTACAATAAATAATCGCAGCACCAACATTCACACACACATTGGAAAAAAGCATGAAAGAAAGATCGCGAGTGATGGTGCCAGGCGAGCGATAAGCATGCTTATGAGTTGCGAGTCATTGTGAGTTACGTAGCAGCGACATAAAGGTATTGGGATCTCTGGGTAGAGCTATTTCACTTGCCAACTCATTCCAGTCAGTCGTTGCCAGAATAATAGAAAGGAATGTAAACTTTGCTATGGGGATCACGAACCTTGAGTCAAAACATTGATTTTCTGCTAAGGACACTCGAAGAAAAGTAAATAGGAACTGTTGGATTTTATACTTTCGATAAAGTTAAAGGTCGATAGGGGTAAAATGTATTTCAGGTAAAAGGCACATCAGAGGTGGCCGTGCTTTCAATGCAACTTTTCTCACGTCGTTTAACACTCGAGACTGCGGTGCAGAAAGGGGAAATACTTTTAGTCGAAGGAACAGACGCAGAAGGGAACCTCAAGGTAGACCTCGAGGCAGCTTGCTTCGATGTCTACCCCCTATCCTTAAATCAGAGCCAATTGGAGCTCGGCGTTCTGACGTCGCCCCAACCCCCACAAAAGAAGCAGATGAACTTGCACTCTGCATAGTCACTGACAAGGGGAGAAGGGCAGGGAGGAGCTTCTATTGTCCCACCTCCAGCGCGAGCTTCCTACCTTCAACATGCTTCGGCGTCGTGTGAACCTTGAGCACGACCGCACAGCCGAAGCATGGCAGAAGGCATGGAGCGCACGCTGGAGGCAGGGCGTTCAAAGGACACGTGCCCTACTGCTCTCGTTCTGTCAGTTACTATAGCTGGCGTCGTCTGCGTTGTAGTTCAATGGCGTCAACTGCTAATGTATGCGGTATTGCACGTCTCTGCCTCGGGAAGGGGACACAAAAAAAACAATGAACCACAACAAAATTTTTTTTACAATTTATAAAAATTAATTTTTTTATAATTCCAATGTTTTGCTTGTTTTTCGCTTGAATTCTGAACTATAAAGTGAACACCTCTTTTTATTTTTAAACTGAGTGCTTTTGCAATGTGTTCTATGTTGCCATAGTCTAAAATTCAAAATTTTCTATTTGCTTTTAGAAAATAATGTATTTTTTCAAACTTAGTTCGTCTTTTTAGACAAACTGCATATAAGCGAGGAGTACTATGTATTTTTAGACCGAATCCTTTAGTTTTTTTGCTTTGAAAACTGGGTATTTTATAATATTTTTTATGCTGGTGATGAATAATAGTTAAACAAAAAATTGTTTTTTCACCTTTAAGAAATAGTAGATTTTTCTGACTTTGCTCGTTTGTTGCGTAGAATCCAGCATTGTGGCTTTGCTGTCTAGCAGGTGTTGCATATGAGCAATGTCTCTCTCCCTGTGCAAGTTTGAGTAGGCGAATTGTGCGAAGTATCGCCTAACTATGGTTGGCGCAGCAACCAGGCCGTGACAAAAAAAAACTTTGTTACAGGATTTTAGCTAAGCTAGTCGGCACGTAGTGGTGAATGGTTGGCTTGATCTTACAGAAACGAATGAAGAAAGGATGCAACGGGACAAAATGGCCGACCAACGGATTTGCTTTAGCACACTTCTTCTTTGTACTCGTAATCAGTATCTGCTGCGTGGGATGCAGCAAATACAGTGTTTTTCATTGTGCCAGACCAGATAACTCAAATAACATGCGGATGAATGCATTAACACCTTGTTCATTACCATACTCGCTAAAAAAAAGACAACAGTGTTTGCGGTGTGTCACGTCCGGATAACTTGTAGGATAAATTTCGGTAACATTAAATTTTTTAATTTCCTCGCGTAAATGTTTTTTGGAACTAATAGTAGTTGTTCTTTTGTGTATATATGAACAGCCTCTAATGAAGAAGGGGATAGACCCTTTCCGGAATTCAGTCTGGCCACTTTGATCACTATCATCATCATCTGAAAACGGCATATGTGCTATACTAATGGCGGCCTTCTGTTTACTGATGAAGGAAGAAGTTGAAGATGCTCCTGAGCAGATGATTCGAGGCCTATACATTCGAGGTGTTAGCGCGACGTGAAGCAGGAATCGGAAGCAAGAACTGCGTAAGCGTTCATTTATAACTCAGTCCCAGTCAATCTGTTAGTCGCAGTCAATCGGCTTCAAAGCCTCTTGATATATAGGACTCTATCAATGCGTCTATGTCGGTTGGCGCTTCGTTCCGACTGGCTGCATTTGTTTCGCCATCGACACTAAAAGAGATTGAAAAATAATTGTAGTGAAGTGAACATTCTCGTTTACCGTTGACCTTTAAGTGACGGTGCCCCATTAAATACTGCAGACCACAGGCTCATTGCCGCCATTAGTATAGTAAAAAATAAACTGCCTTTTGAGTCACCAGATGGCACTGAATTCCGGAAAGGGTCTATTACACATGTGAAGAAGTGTACTGAAGCAAAGTTGTTAGTCAGCTGTTTTGTCCTCTTCCCTCCTTACTTCGTTCGTTTCTGTAAGTTCAAGCCGACCCTTCACCGAAATAGAAAGGTTTGGAACTTGCGAGATGTAATTTGAAAATCGCACGAGCTCGCTCGTTGCGTCTGAGCCACGGCACTCTCTTCTCTCGGCGTGAGCGGTTTCTCGACGCCCGCTCTTGCGTGCGGGATGTCTGTCCAGTTGCCCTGACGGTCCACGCCAGCCGGCTGAGGCAGCTCTGGCAGTACGCCAACCCCAGGAGCCTGGCCCACGCGGTGCTTCACGCTTTCCTCGGCGGAGTCGCGGTCCGGGCCCTTCTGGGGCTGTCTCAGGGACGCTACTCTGAACTGGTCGTTGGCTGCGGCGGCGCCGAGAGGTACGGACCGTTTCAAGAAGTCCCCAGTTCTGGAGGTTCTGGTACAAAAATACGAAAGCATCTGCTCAAAACTGGCATGCACTCCTTCGACCAAGGAGGTCCGGTCCTGCTGGCTGTGTTAATCTGAAGTGACAACATGTGAACTAACGCTTTTAAGGCACTTTAGATGGCCTGCGAAAATTGGTTTCTCAACGTATAGTGCTGCGATTTACTACAGAGGTGCAAGCAGGTGGTGGAAGTTTACAGTAAAATAAATACCGTATTTATTTAATCTAGGCTGGCCCCGATTCTAAGCCGACCCAGAAAGTCCGAAGCCAGGAAAAAAAAGAAACTTGCCTCGAATGTAGGCCGAACGAAAAGGCGAGGACTGCGTTCACAAAATGAAGATATTTATTGAACATGAAGATGCCGTGCTCATTCTGAGTCATCATCGCTGCTAGCCTAGTCGCTGACTTGTTTATCACTGTCATCATCAAACAGTGCGCTATCCTCAGTACCATCAAGCGCATTTGATATGCTGCACTTTTTGATGGAGCGAACGATCGAAGTTCCAGGGATGTCGTCTCACGCTGCAGCTACCCAGCCCGCCATCCTTGTTGCGGCGCCCGCAAATATCCTCTCCCGTTGCCTCCTCCAACGATGGACATTTTTTTCATCCACGCTGAAGTCCCACCCGGCTTGAGCGTTCGATGACAACTCTGCAGCTAAAGCAACTTTTCTTTTAAAAGCGTAGCTATAGTGGCACCGCCTGTTTGGTGCAATTGTGCTGTTGATAAAAAGAAAACGCCACGCCGCACGCAGGCCACTACCAACGCAGGTCAAAATGGTGGCACCGCCCGTGTACTTAAGTGGCTACTGGCTCGGCTAGTAATGGCTACAATACTTTCTTTCTAGGTGGCACTAGCTGCGCGCCACTTTCTTTAATTTTACTTGGAAATTGGCGCGTATTTCAAAATCCTCGAATCTAAGCCATCCCTAGTGTTTGATGTATCGGTATTTAAAAAACCTTTCGGCCTAGATTCGAATAAATACGGTAAAAGTAAATTTACCTCAGTAAAAAATAAACAGAAACCTGTTCTGGGCAATCTACGCCTGCACTTCGCAGACGATGTGCATAGTGGGAAGTGCAGCCGACAGCTGGCGTACGCCGCATCGAGGGAGCACCTGCCGATTCGGGTTATGATAGCAGACGATCCCGCAAAAGAACCCGAATCGGTCGGTGCTCCCTCGACGCGGCGTACGCCATCTGTCGGCTGCACTTCCCACTGCGCGTGCATCGTCTGCGAAGTGGCGGCGTAGATTGCCCAGAACAGGTTTCTGTTTTTCTTTCTTCTGAACGAGGTAAGTTCATTCTTTGATATTTTTCACGGTAAACTTTCACCACCTGCGTGCACCTTTCTAGTAAATTGCAACACAATAAATTGAAAAACAGATTTTTGCGGGCCATCTAAAGTGCCTCAAATGCCTTAACTTACATTGCTGTAGATTTTGCTCCCCCAAAGTTTCTCTTGTGCCTATTGTGGCTCACCTTTTTACACTCAAGGTCCAAGATGTTTCTTTCTAATCGGCGCATTATTTTGTCCCCGGAATCCTCGAATCCCAAGTTTCTGCCAGATGGTATTTCTAAAATGGTGGATTCCGCGCAAATCTGCAGTGGTATGGTGCCTGAAGCACGTCCCCAACTGGTGCGTCGACTGCGTCCTCAAACGTGGTTCCTTGATTTTCGCCCGACGGCGTCACAAAAGTGCCGTGCCGTTGCTCGCCCTAACTCGGCAGTGTGTACCGTAATGTTCCCGTCCACCTTCAAGGCAGCTGGCACTGTTTTTATGGCTCTATTGGTTATATCAAATTCTTTTGCCGTCCCATTGACTTCGTTATAACGAGGGATTACTGTAGTCGTATCTTGCGGCAGCGTTTTTTTAAATTTCGAATTAGCTCAATGGAGTTGCAAGAAAACACGTGCACACAATGAATCAGGTACATTATCATGCATATACTACATATGTGTGATGGCATGTTATAAAATAACCTTTTTTTTCTCGTGCTGAGAATGTCAAATATTATAGATACATTGTTTGATGTATGAATGTGCGGATTATTTCTTTATCATTCATTTTCCTTCTCCTTAACTCAGCTACTGGCATGTATTGTGTTTAAAATTGAATATATAAATTTTAAGATGGTGTGCATTTCATAACTTATGTATTCAGCAAAATATTTTCTTTTCTCTACGTCCAATTTGCATCAAGTACAAACGATTGACTAACTCTGCCTCAAAATTTGCCTGGTACCATTTTGTCTGGGTTTGTCGTAAGAGATCACAAAATGTTGTAATGCTGTCAATAGTGAAGAGTCGCATGTGCGGCAGCAAGCATTAACAATGATGGGAAATAAACGCGAGGAAAAAGCTAGGGGTAATCGGGAGGGGAATTCCCGGTATATTGGTCCTTTTTTCTGCAGGCATCGGTGTCTGAACGAAGGGCACACATTCCTGGTCCTGCACGGCGTGTTCACGGGGGTCTTGCTCCACCTCCGCCGCCTCTCCGGCAGACAACACTGCCTCTTGTTCCCCGTCATCCAGGTGAGGCTGTCTCTCGGAGATTTCCTTGAGGTCTGTCCTTGGCTACTGTCTACGAGAAGGGTGTTCATGAAGGGCACTGGAGTACAGTCTTTGAGAACAGTGCTTGCGTCCTGGTCTTCATAACTTCCCTCGAGAAAAGCCCTTGAAAACGGCCTATGATGACTGTATTTGAAAGCGGTTCTTGAGAACGATCCCTGAGAACAGTGTTTGAGAACCATCTTTGAAAATGGTGTTCATCTTTGAGAAAAGTGCTTGAGAACTGGTCCTGATAACTGCCCTGGAGAAACATTCTTCAAAACGGTCTTTAAAAACAGTCTTTGAAAGTACTCTTTGAGAACGGTCCCTGAGAACAGTGCTTGAGAACTGGTCATGATAACCTCCCCCGAGAAAAGTTCTTGATAACAGCCCATGAGAACGGTCTTTGGCAGCAGTTTTACAGAGCTGTGCTTGAGAGTAGTGCTTCAAAACTGTTCTTGAGAACAGTGTTCATACATTGCCCCAGAGAACAGTCTTGAGAACTGTTCTAGATAACTGCCTTTTATAATAGTTCTTGAAAACAGCCTGAGAACAATCCCTGAATTCAGTTTTTAAAAACAGTGCCCGAGAATGGTGTTTGGGAAATGCCGTGGGGCCATAACTCGTAAAATACAAAGTTGCAGCCGAACGTTCATGGAGCGCGCCGATTGGACACCGGCGACATAAGAGCGAAATTGTCGTGATAGTCCACTCGGTGCGGTCCATGAACTTTGGTCCCAACTTTGTGTCTAACGAGTTTAGAGCCCCTGGAGAACAATCTTGAAAACTAAAACTGTTCTTGATAATTGCTCTTGAGAATAGTTTTTGAAAACAGTCTTTGGGAACAATCTCTGGAAGCAGTTTCTGAGATCAGTCTCAGAATAGTGATTGAGAACCATCCCTAAGAATTGCCCTGGGGAACTCTCTTTGAGAAGAGTAGCCAAGAACTGTTCTTATGGACTTTCTTTAAAGGGAGGCTGAAGACGTCCTCGAATTTGTAGAAACCTGTGAAAGTTTTCATGTAGGCCCCTTTGAAGTTATCTGTCTTAAAGGGATACTGAAATTAAAATTGAAATACACCTCTCACAATCAGAAATGAGTTAAACATGATAAAAAAAATTGTCTAATGACGATTGCTCCTTTGTATTTTGAACGTATGGCCATATTGTCACGGGTGGTGAGTCGTGACCAATAAACAAGAAATAAACAGAAATAAATAAACGTTTAATGTGGCGAACTTGTGCCAAAAATAAAGAAGGAAACAGAAGAAAGCAGAGCGTCGCGGGCGTCGAAGTCGGCGTGTCAGCAGAATCGAGCGCTGGGGCGAGACTGACTCGACAAGGTCGCGGGCGGCCTCTTATCTAGAGTGCGTCGCTATCTCGAAGATTCGGCGAAAGCGGCTCGAGCGTCGCGTGATCGGGCGAGAATGAACACGCACTTTCTAGAAAACAAAAGCAGGAATAAATGATAGAAGTTACATGCGGTACATGAATAAACGAGAACTTTCTGGAGGTCCGTGACCGAGCGTTGCTTTCTCAGCCCTGGGCGCGGCAATATTTTTCGTTCCAAACGGCCGATTTTAGCGAGCATGGAAGAGCAGCCGTCGGAGAGCTCAACGTGTCTCGGAATATCCAGCACCTCCAGCGCATTCGTGATGTCGCATTTACCTTTACGGGCAAAGCTACAGGAAAGCTGGTGTGGTTGTGCTTTTCGCCACTTGGTGGCGTCGATGCATTCTAGCCTGGCCGTTCAAGATGCCCCCTCCCCGCAGGAGTTGCATAAACGTGGGAGAGAAGGGAAATCTGGTTCGGCCAGGTTCGACAAAACTCGAGTGCACGCAGCTTGTTGCTGTATTCCCGCGGAGCAGCGCTGCCTTTATGGGTAGTTTGAAGTAACAACATTTGGTTAATTCGTTTAAAAAAAAGTCTTTTCGAGTAAAAACGTGGTTGACATTAGACAATAAAATAGGTGCTAGAATTTTTTTCCAGTACCCCTTTAAGTTGGCTCTCGATCTCGCTAGTATGAGTGTCGTAATTGTTAAATAAAATTTCTACATAGGCCTGCCCGTTGCGGTGTGCCAAGCACAGGAGGGCGCGAGAGCCGAGACAGAAACTAGCAAAAGTGACGTTATCGGTGGGGTCAGATGACCCTTGCTCGCCACTAAGCTGGGTTGGGGATGCCGACAATGACGTCACGACGCTTTAGATAAATAGTATCAGGCGGCAGAGATGCTCGCCGCATCCCCTGCTGCAATCGCTGGACATATTTTTTGAAATAAATGCGCTTTACGTTTACTTCTGTCCAAGTTATGTGCCATAACTGAATTAACGGGACAAAAAGCTACAGAAGTCCACTCCTAACCCAGATTTTTTAAAAGTGCCTCAGCTTCTTTTTAAGTGCCTTGCTCTTTCAGTGACCTAGGAGAATTGACTCACTGGCATTGGAAAAGTAAATGTGTCACCTTTGATGGCTGCTGTTCATCCTAAATTAAGTTTGAATATCTAACCTGCCTAATCGAAGGGAACTTTACCAAAATCATAAAAATGACCAAATTAAAATATTCAGAGTAATATTTTGGTCCATCGCTTTGGTATCATAAAGCCATTATACCATTAGATTTACCTTGCTGTATAAAGGTATGTTTAAGTCGACAAAACTTCGTTGTGTTAACTCAGGAGCAAAGTAAAAAAGTAATATTTTGTGCATTTTGGATTGTTGCTTTTGTATGTAGTATGTATTGCTAGTACACGGGTTATCTTTGAGATTTGTTGACAAATTTAAGTCATGTTTTATTTACAAATTATTCCTCAATCTACGGAGCAAGAGGTGGAACTACCACTGTGTTGACGTGCGGCATTTAGTTGTTATTCAGTGCAAAGTTTTGGTATAAACCAAGACAGTGACTCCTTATAAACTTCTATATATCTTGTCTTTTTTGGTGCATTTAAAATATATCCAAAGAGTTCCATCCCAGAGACCAGGGATGGGCAAAATACATGCAAATGTGTATCGAAATACAAATACAAAATACTTGGTCAAAAATGTATTTAATTACAAATCTAAATACATTTCCAGAAAAGCATTTAAGTACAAGATACAAATACAACCAACTGTATTTGGTCTCCTTCAAATACTTTTTCAAATACATTCCTCAGAATTTGCATCAGCGACTTCAGGGCACCTGCAACGGGTTTCTGGGTATCTCATTTTAATTTTGCATCGCACACTCGGGGGTTAGTGTGCGAGACTCCAGTAACGTGATAGAAATATAATTACAAAAAAAATGTAATTAGCTTGGGCGCAATAGGTGAAAAAACTACAGAGCTTCAAGCAGCTTTTTTTGTCAATTACATTTTGGTATAGACCAACAAAGAACCGAGACGACCAAGACGCGCAGCACTAGCTGGAGAATTTTTCATTGTTGCAACTCGCACCAGTTACAAAAATCTGGACGACCCGCGCATTTAGAATGTTCTAGGCAAAAATATGGATGGGAATCAGGCTGGAAAGCATCCCAAGTTGTCACAGGCACTTATTTAGCCAGTCTGCCTGTGAACGTCGATTTCATCACTATTCTTGCCCTGGACTAGCACCGTAATCACAAAGTCACTAAGCGCTTGTGCTTGAGTGATACACTGCATTCGGTGCAGAAAGTAGTTTTCTTCCTGCTCTGGACAGTGCCTTTAAAATAAAGCCGGAGGAAAAGAAAAAAGAAAAGAAAAAAGCCCCGTGGCCGAATAAAGGATGGAGACTATATCTTACAACCACATGCATAAAAACAAGAATTGTAATTAAAAGTTTAAAACAGCGCAAAAAACGACGGACAGGGTAAAGAAGGACACAGACGGAGCGCTGACTCGCAACTAAATTTTTATTGGACCCAACGGTGCAACACGTATGCACAATTGCTGTGTCTGCGTCCTTCTTTACCCTGTCCGTCGTTTTTTTGCGCTATTTTAACCTTTTAAAGTATGTCATACCAACTCGCCCAGGCTTCAACTTTAGCGAGAATTGTAACTTTGGTAATAATATTTATTTAACGTAGTAGAAGCAAGTGCCGCGGGCGCCCGGCGTGCTGGGGCGCCCGCGATGAGCGAGACGCGAACTGCCGCAGGACTGGTGTATGAAGTGGTGAAGAGTTTCTTGGTTGTCGTTGCCGTTGGCGTTGAGATGAAGAAAGAGCAGCTTTGGACACCTCTTCGGATGAGCAAAATGAGTCGTGACAATAAATTTGAGGGATGTATTTTCGACCACAAAATTGTATTTAATTACAGTTGTATTTGAAATACCCATGTTTAGTATTTAAATACACACGTCAAATACATTACCCAATTTGTAATTAAATACAAATGCAAAATACACGAAGTACTTGAAATACGTATTTCAAATACTTGTATTTGAAATACTGCCCATCCCTGCCAGAGACACATCGCGCCTGTAAGTGATGACGTCACAACATGGTGTTTTGCTCCAGACAAATGGTTGCTAGGGCCGTTGCTATGGACAAACGCACGGGGGCTTGACACAAGCTTAAAATTTGTCCGATAAAGAAGGGAAATATTTTTTGTTAGCATTGTGTCTTCTCAATATATAGTCAAGAAGTCTGGGGTCTTATTGAAAACGAAAGATTCGGCAGGATTATTTCTTTGTGTGATGTTCACAACCAGATATGAAACACACACCCATATTGCGAGCCTGAAAAATTAGGTTTGGAGTCTCGAACCGACCACGTTGGAGCCAAAAATAATTGCTCCCACAAAAAAGAGGGCCATAAGTGTGACCGTTTTTTGTCAGTTTGCGTCCCATGTCCCACTCAAATACAATTTGTTTTTATAAACCTGATGAGTTTTCTTAGAACTGCCATGCTCCCAATTAACACAAGATCAAAATCGTATCATTATGTTGACGATTCCAAATGTCACAGACGGCATACGTCAGTCATTCTGCATGCGTTTGTCGTCTGCAGCATTCATTTCGATAAGTATCGGTGACCGGAAGATCGTTGTCGCAAATATTTTAGAAACGGCCGATTCTCTGCAAACTTCTGTTGCGGTAAGTGTGAAATCTAGGCTTCCTATACCTATTCTTTTTAGATGTTTAAATTCCACGTCTGATTTCTGATTGAAGGTTGTTTCAGGCTGAAATCCAGTCCCATATATTTGTCCATAGCAACATCCCTAGCGACAGTTTGTTTGGAGCAGTTGCATCACAGATTCGGGGTTACTCATGGAGCAACATACATCAAGTTCTCGTTTCTAACGTGATATGTTGCGAGGTCTGGCACGAGTTTACACCAACTAAAACGACTGACAAACCTTTGTAACTTAAGAGCGAAGAGCATGAGGTGCTTGTTTGGAAAGCAAAATGGAAATCATGGGCAAATGTTATTTGCTAAATGCAAAACTGGCAGTGTTTGTGACAGAAGCCTAGTCTCCACTGACCTGATGATCTTACTGTTCCCTTTCCTCCTTTCCCATTGGCTGTGGGCAAGTATGCAATTTCTAAGCACTTTTCCTTGAAGCTATCTGAATGTGGTTTCCATGCTTACTGTGAAATTACCTCTTTCCCTGACAGAGACCCAGGTAGTACGCCAGAGAAACCCCTAAATTGGCACAAGCTTGGCAATCCTAGAGCCTAGCTCGGGTCTTCTACGGTTTTGCTCTAAAGTGGTTTTAGGGCTTTTCTCCGGCTCACCATGCAATTACCAAAGTAGCAGACTTGAGCCTAATATGCCTCGTATGAGCCGAAGAACGAGCAGTGAAGTAAAAATCTGGCACTTGCTGGAAAATTTAGGCCCAAAGTTGCCAAAAGAAAACTGAATAACCAAACGTGAAGCCTAACTTTGGCACTGATAAGGCAATTGAGGTCTAAACTTGTCAGATGACAGCCAAACTATCAGCAGGGAAGCCTAACTTTGGCACTTGTTTGTTCGAACTAGGGCCGAGATACGCAGACTCTGGCCGAAGAAGGTTAAGTTTTGCTCTACCTTAGCTTCTTCGGGCTTTTATAAGACCCTACATTCCCAGACAAAAACCAAATCTTGGCCGAAAGAACTATGCTGCCTGGGAAGAGAAAGAAAGACATTTAGCACTGTTGAAGGGATTCTTAGAAGTCGACCTTTGACACGCCCCAAGCTGTAAAGGTGCTACAGCTCTGAGTCAGTGACGCATTGACCCATGTTGTAAACTTACCGGCGGTCAGGATTTTCGTTTCGACCGGTTCTGATTCAAGGTCGTCTGTCCCAGGACGGTTGTCTCCCCTTTTGCTCACGTTGCTGCCACGTTCCTCTCCAGCTCAAGTTTGCAAACGCCCGCTCGCAAGTGAATCTGGTGTTCCGCAAGGCCGTGCTGGACTGCCTCAAGAGCTGCTACGTTTTCTACGGACTGTACTACCTCCTCGGTGAGAACCCTCCCTGCCTTTGAGAGAGCAACGGTTTTCTCTGGGTGCAATGGGGCAAAGTTCAGTTCTTTAATGAGAGGGATCCACTCACTGAATATGCTTAGAGCTTGGTGTAAGATACTCTTTAGCGAGGACACGTAGCCTGGTGAACGCTGCGACGCGATCGACCAGATAAGGTTCTACTCGCGCACGCTAGACTAGCCTATGCCGACAGTGTTTCCGCTGGCCAGATGGTGCAACAGAAGAAAAAACAAATAAAACAAAAAAAGCATTTTATTGCCATGACACCCAGTCATGTCAGCTTTCCGCTCAGCTTGTCTACTCGAACCTTGACGAACTCTGTCTCAAACACCGTATCAGTGATCTCTCCACTCCTTGAGGTCGTCGTAGACGACGTCTAGGGTGACCTCAAGGACGAACTCGAGGACAACGTCTAGGACGACCTCAAAGATGACTTCTAAAATGACCTCAAAGACAACCTTTCGGACAAACTGAAGGATGACGTCTGGGACGACCTCAAGGACAGCGTCTAGGACGGCCTAGAGGATGACTTCTAGGATGACGCCTAGAGAAATTCAGCCTTTCCACTTTGGTGAAAACCAGAGTGGAAAGGCTGGAAAGGTTGCCGCCATCTATGAGTGACGGCTGCAACAAGACAACCGGCAAGCTGGTTGGTTGTCTGGTTACCGCCGTTGGTCATAGATGGCGGTAGCTGTCCAGAGTTTTGTGTCGACAGTTATTTGGTGACGGACACGAAACCAGGGAAACTAGCCCTTAACAGCTCCGCTGTAAGATTGTACAAGTATGAATTTCGCGGCATCTCTACTCACCGTATACAGTGTAAGCTCATTACAACAAACTTGGTTACAACGGACATCTGGATATAACATACTGATTCGTGAAGTTCAATTGGTTTTCCTCTATATACCACTGACTCAAATTCATATGTATATGTGCCATTATTCTTTGAGTGATCACAAATATGAGAGCTACAAGGATCATCTGATTTGGTGTCTGATGGTGTTTCTTTCATATTCACCGAAAAAAAAAAACGGTAAACTTTTTTGGAAATATATATAAAAAAACAATAATTTAATTTTAAAATAAACACCGAAAAAAGTATGCCGAATTTTGAAACAATAAAAACCGAAAACGTGGAACCCTAGCCATAGCTCAGGAACTTTGGAGTCATAAGCAGTCGTAAGCAGTCACAAGCCACGCTGCGGTCCACTATCGTGGCTTGTCACACAGAACCGTAACTTTGTATCTTTTTTGCGCGACGTGAGTTATGAACCACGGGCCTTGCTTAGAAGTAGTACAGTATGTGTTTTGCCGATTTGACGCAAAGCTTTCCTCCTCGTTTTTTTTGCTCGGAAGGATCGATCCCAAAGGGCTGGATTTCCTACAATCTGGGACTGGATATGTGGTAAGTAAGCTTGCTTCCCCAGTCTGCGTGCATAACTTTCTCCGTACTGCTGCCTCTACCGGAATAAGTTTGCGGCTTCATCGAATGAGGCTCGAGTGTCTGCCTTTCTAGACCATGCGCGCGGCAAGTTGTCGCGGTTTACAAAGAGGGGAGTGCAGCGGGCGAACGACGCGAAGATGCCACTTTCGGCACCATGGCAGCGAGCGCAGCACAGGACCTGACCCGCCCGGAACTTCGCTAGGGTTGCAATTGTGAGAATGGCCGCTCAACGTGTGTGAAGCTTGTGACCGCTTACAACGAAGAGCGACGTGCAGCCTTTTTGATCTTTTGCGACGAGGGAACACGCTGTCACACTAACGCCATCTACGAGGTGGCCCTGGAACTGCATTTCACTAGAGCCAAGGCTTTGCGGAATTTGTAAGATAAAATATACATACTTTTTAGGAGTAACGGTCATTTAAAACATTCGCAAAAGTTTTTCGGGCTGACAGTGAAAGAATGATTCGCAAAAAAAAGGCAGGTCTAAGCAAATTACGAGGTTCCACAGCTACTCCATAAATGGCACTGGTCTGTTCTCGTAAGAGATTGCTAGAGGTTGTAATGCCCCCAATCGTAAGCTGTCGCAAGCGTGCGAGCTGGCCTCAATAATTTAATGGAAAGAATTGCCATTAAACCCTTAATAATAATAATCTGGGTCTCGCCATTTGCTCATCTTACTCCATCCGGCAAAGGCTAAATGAGGAAGACTGCAGCCACGGCGGTGCCACCCTCTGCAAAGAAGTCTGCAAGTTCTTAGTTTCCCAAAGGTTCCTTTCGAGAATGCCTTTTGCATTTTCGTCTGCTTGCGTTTACCAATTACAAACTGTGAATGACCGACTGCCATGCGGGTGAAAACCAGCTTCTCTGCTTGACAGCACCCCCTTAGTGGACAACGCTTGCCCGGCACGAGCCCGTGCGGATGGCGCTTGCGGAAAGCATTTGACCAGTCGGCCGACACTTGGTCGGTCCGGCGATTACGTAGCTACTGCACCACTGCCGGCTTAGCAGTCGGCAAGCTATAGCGCCGCATGTCCCCCACCAAAAATAGTCGCTGTGTTTTTTCACCGCACCGCAAAAATGATGCATGCATCGCCGAATGCTCTGTTTCAGACCAAACGGTTCGGTTATTCGAAAGTTTTAAGTGATTTTCTGAAATTTTCAATGGGAAAATGGGGTTCGTTCGTGTTAGTTTGCAATGTTCAACGTATGTACTCGTGGGCTTTGTGGGCCACCATTTTACCGTTAAAAATTTCAGAAAACGGCTTATAACTTTTTGCTAAGAAAGCGCTTCGTTCTGAAACTGGCACCTGGTTCAGACCGACAACGTTACATTTGGGCTGAGAGCGAGCGGTCGACGATGCGGTGTTTATTTTTAAAATAAAAAACAAAATTTTTTGGGGCAGAATGTTTTATAGAGGCATCCCACCATATGCATAAGCACTTTGAGAAAGCAGTCATGCGAATTAGTGAAAAATTATTTGCGCAAATAGAATACGGCCGGTGTTTCCTTTAATCCAGTTGATAGGGTAAACTTCGAGATATTTTTGTTTTATCACTGGATGAGTGGATGGGTGCAGCCATAACTGGCATTTCAGTGAAGACTTTCGGGAACAAACTGCCAACCACGGCAGACGTTGGAGGTTGCAAGAAAGCATACTAATTAGCTAGATAATGAACTAAAATTTAGTAATTAACTTTTTAATTGGAGAAAGTAAACATATGGTTTTTATTAGAAACTTGCCGAGCGACATCGAAAACCCCTAAATTAGTCAATTCTAGGATGACCAGAAGCATGTGGCAAGAGTGATGGTGCTCGAGGACACCTAAGCACTTCTTATGAGTTGTGAATGCGAAAGCGCAGAAGTCCCTTTGACGATGTGAATGCTAGAGGCGGCGCCATGTTCGTCGGTGGCGAGACGAGCAGAAGCACCGTCGAAGATGTGGATGATGGAGGCGACGGAATGTTGGTCGGCGCGAGACTCGGCAGCGAGACGAGCAGAAGCCTCGGAGCACGCGCCAACGTGTCCGTTTTAACTGGCACGGGGCCCATAGTGGCATGGGCTTGCGGTGGTTAGTTTTATCGGCACGCAGGCGGCATGGACACGCAGCGCCACATGGCGGCGGTTGTTGAAACTGATGCGCGCAGTGGCCAATGGGAGCCTCGTCGCCGCACGCCAGCCAATGGGACCTTTGGGATCAGGATAACTAGGTGCTGTTTTCGCACTTCAAACTGATGATGTCGGCTCGCTCTATGGGACCAGTTAATGCTTTCGCATTAAAACATTGATAATATTCTTATCTTCGTTTTTGCATTGGCAGCCTTGTGGCAGCTGCACAAGTAGGGAACTTCAGCGCACTCCCACCTTTCACACATGTCTTAAGTCTTCCAAAAATTGACTGATTTAGGGGTTTTCAATGTCTCTGAGCAAGTTTCTAGTTCGAGCCATACGCTTATTTTTTAGTCATTTGCGAATAGTGAACTTTGAGTTTGAAGTGAATAGTGGTTTTGGTTTCAAATTGAATATTGAATAGTTTCTCTAAGCCTTTCACTTACTGCAACATGCTCAAACGAACACCTAATTGAACTCATGAAAGTTGTTACCAAGCTTCCACTTGTCCACTTCTAAGCAAATTCTAATTTAACTATATTGACTGTGGCTTCCGAAAATTCAATGCCTACATTGAAATGTTGAGTAAACGGTGCATTTGTCGTAAATTTATACCTATAGAGATGCCCAGCTATACCTAATCAAGGGGACTTATAAATATCCTCGCTGTATGCAAATATATTTTCTGCAATCACGTACGATTAAATCAGGTTGTCAGGACATCTGTGCTTAACATATTGTCACGGGTGGTGACCAAAAGAAACAATAAATACACAGAAAGAAATAGACGTTTAATGTGGCGAACTTGTGCCAAAAATAAAAGGAAATAGAAAAATAACAACAGAGCGTCGCGGGCGTCGAAGGCGGCGAAGCAGCAAGGTCGAACGCTGAGGCGAAACTGACTCGACAAGGTCGCGGGCGGCCTCTTATCTAGAGTGCGTCGCTATCTCGAAGATTCGGCGAAAGCGGCTCGAGCGTCGCGTGATCGGGCGAGAATGAACACGCACTTTCTAGAAAACAAAAGCAGGAATAAATGAGAGAAGTTACATGCGGTACATGAATAAACGAGAACTTTCTGGAGGTCCGTGACTGAGCGTTGCTTTCTCAGCCCTGGGCGCGGCATTATCCCCCCCTTTAAAAGTGCATCGTCCCGATGCAGCACAAAAACGGAAAACGAAAAAAACAAAAGGACAGCAGAATTGCTAGCCGGAGTTCACAGTCCACAGTTCACTCGTCGACGAGAGTGGAGAGTCCTATCGTTCGTAATACGGCTTCAGCCGGACGACGTGCACTACCTCGGGTCGCGGCTGACTTCTTGCAGATGGGCGGGTTCCGTCGGGAAGGACTTCGTAGTTTAAGTCCCCGAGACGGCGAAGCACCTTGTAGGGTCCAAAGTAGCGCTTGAGAAGCTTCTCGCTGAGACCGCGGCTCCGTATTGGTGTCCACACCCATACCCGGTCTCCGGGTTGATAGTGGGCGTCACGCCGGCGAAGATTGTATCGGCCGGCGTCGACATGTTGCTGGTCTTGAATTCGTAGTCTTGCCAGTTGGCGGACCTCTTCTGCCCGTTGAGCAACCACCTGGGCGTCATCGCTTCCGTCGTCGACTGGATCGTGCGGCAACATAGAGTCTAGCATAGTCGTCACCTTCCGGCCATACACCAGCTGGAAGGGCGTCACTCTTGTGGTCTCTTGTACGGCCGTATTGTAGGCAAATGTGACGTATGGCAATACCTCGTCCCATGTCTTGTGCTCCACGTCGACGTACATGGAGATCATGTCGGCGATGGTCTTGTTGAGCCGCTCCGTCAACCCGTTTGTCTGCGGATGGTATGCAGTTGTCCGACGGTGGTCCATCTGGCTTAGACGAAGGATCTCCTGGGTTAACTGCGCCATGAACGATGACCCTCGGTCTGTGATCAGGACTTTGGGGGCGCCATGCCGGAGGACGATGGACTCGATGAAGAACTTCGCGACTTCGACAGCAGTCCCCGAAGGAAGGGCTTTCGCCTCGGCGTAACGCGTAAGATAATCTGTGGCGACGATTATCCAGCGGTTTCCCAGGGTCGACGGTGGAAAAGGGCCCAGCAAATCCATTCCAATTTGCTGGAACGGTTTGGTTGGAGGGGGAATCGGCTGAAGGCGACCTGCTGGCTTTGACGGCGGTTTCTTGCGTCGCTGGCACTCATGGCACGATCGCGTGTAGAGATGGACGGTTTTCGGCAGCTTGGGCCAGTAGTATTTTTCACGTATTCGGGCTAGTGTTCGGCTGTAACCGAGGTGTCCTGAAGTTGGGTCGTCGTGGCAGGCTTGAAGAATCTCTTCTCGAAGGCTGGTGGGGACTACCAGAAGCCACGACGAATTACTGGTTCCAAAATTTTTCTTATAAAGTACACCTCTTCGAATAGCGAAGGTCGGCAGGACTCGTGAAAAGACACGAGAAACGGTACTTCCTCGTCCTTCTAGATGCTCAATCAGGGCGCGGAGCTCCGGATCGTCTCGTTGAAGTCCTGCCATGTCGTTGGTGTCCACGGCACCTAGGAAACACTCGTCATCATCCACGTCGGTACAGTCTGGCGTTTCGACGGGGGCTCTGGACAAGCAGTCGGCGTCGCTATGTTTCCGTCCTGACTTGTAGACTACGGTCATGTCAAATTCTTGCAGTCGAAGACTCCATCGAGCCAGGCGTCCTGAAGGGTCTTTGAGGTTTGCAAGCCAACAGAGCGAGTGGTGGTCTGTGACCACCCGGAACGGGTTCCCATATATGTACGGACGAAACTTTGTGATCGCCCATACAACCGCGAGACATTCTTTTTCCGTCGTGGAGTAATTTTTCTCCGCTTTTGACAGTGTC